AGTATATTTATCAAATTTGTCATGCATTAGAATATTGTCATAGTAAAAGTATCATTCATCGAGGTTTAAAACCTGAAAATAGTAATGATTGAAAATAACGAAAAAAAAGTGAATTGTAAAATTTTTTTTTCTTAGTTCTTGTTGATTGTTGTGGAAATTTAAAACTAGCAGATTTCGGTTGGTCAAATGTCAATTAAATATTTGACAAGAAATAATACGATTTTTTTTTGTTATTGTCTTGTTTAAGGAATACAACAGCTTGTTGTACATTAGATTATTTAGCACCAGAAATTGTTGGTCATAAACAATATCAATATCAAGTTGATAATTAGTGTATTGGAGCAGCGTTTTTAATAGGATTTCGAAGCACAGTGTACGCATACACTTTGCTAAGCCAAGGATTTTATTTTCAGAGTGTACTTCATAGGAAAACAAAGTGTATTCTAAAAAAACAGAGTGTACGTACACTTTGCTCTGCTGATGTACACTAATCATTAAAAACACTGTATGTGATAGTGTTTCAAGCTATCTCATTGTTGAATAATTTTGTTAGGCATTGCATATTATTATCAAATTTCTTTACTATTTGTTGAGTAATGATTTTCTTTTTTGTTTCTATTAATATGATGAAAAAAAAATTATTAGTAGCTGTTATGATGAAATTGTATAGAATAAATATAAATAATAAATCATTTCTTTTAGAACATCGTATGACTTTTTGGCATTATTTTTCTTTTTTTTTTACTACGAAATCTGATAGTAATGCAATAAAATATCTGATGATGTAGCGTGAATATGTGTTGGCAAAAGAATTAAATTAAACTATAGTTTTGTTTCATTTTTTGAGAATTATCTCGTCAAAGGGTTAGTCTTGACTTTTCTTTTAGAAACAAAAATAAAGTGAGCATTGATTAAATTTGTCAATAATGAGATAATTAAGAAAAAACAGCCATTACGGAAGTATCTTAAGATTTTGAATAAGTTTCAATCATTCTTTGAATTAATATCCATATATGAATATTTTTCTAGTTTGTTGAATAATTCTACGATCATTTATCATAGAATATATTAACACTTGTTGCGTCAAGAATAAAAGTGTTCCATTTCTTTTATGGATTGGGTTTATTCAAATGAGACATCTATGGAAGTTTATTTTTATCTCTTCATTGTATATTCTTCTGTCAATATCATAGTAAACCGATCTCATGATAAATACTGCTGAAACAATAAACAACTGTTCAATATTTGATTATTTATATGGCGGAAACGAATTGTAGGGTGTGGAGAGTGAGTGTAGATGGCGAAAAGGACCACAACCACACTTGCGACAGTGATCTTGTACTCGATGGCGAAATATAGTTCAATTTGATTCAACAGGAATTAATAACGACTGATTCTATTGTTAAGGTACTGAAATTTCCTTTGAAAAATTGGATGATTCAGGAATTTATTAATTTCTATTTCACGTATTTAGAACTAAATCAATTGTATTCCATTAATGAAGCAATTAGTACTGAGATCATTTTTAAACAAACGAGATGTATGAAGATTTTCAATTGGTCGTATCGCTAGTAATTAAGAAGAAACAGATTCGAATACTTTTATCTCGTGTCATAATAAACTATAATAAAGGATGTTTCATAAGTAACGGTCCCATTTTTAAAAGTCTTGCTGCATACAAATGGAGCCGTTATTTATAAAACATCCTTTATATTCTGATAGAGCTTGAAATTCTCTATCATCCTATATCTTTCTGTCTTGCGTTGCATTTACTTACTAAAGGATCACTCGAATATTACAGATACACCTTCCTTGATAAACTATAAAAGACTGCATTTTTTACTATCTCTTTCGTTTTTATTTTCAGAAGTCTAGGACGATAGAGACTTTCAAGTGCTATCAGAATACATAATTAGTTGGCGAAAAAGTTGTTTCTATATTGGTAATGAACCTAAAGTAAAAGTGAAAGGGATAGAAAAAATTCAATTTTTAAAGTTTGCCAAAAGGTGCTTCTGTAATATTCGATTTATCCTTCAGTAACTAAGTTCTCTAGTATAGTGGTTATAGCGAAAGCACTTTACTAGACATTGAATTTCAACTTGAAGATAATGTCATCAAAAAGCACACATTGAATGACATAGCCATTAAAAAATGGACTTTTAAGTCAAAAACCACTTGTTAAGACCCTTAGAGAGTGCTTTAGATTCTTCTAATGATAAAACGAAATTTTCGATACCTAAAGGCAGCTCTACGTGTGAAATATTTATTTGTGATAAAATACAAAATAAGCTTGTGAAAAGACATCGCTTTCGATTTGACCAGTAATGTCACTGGTTGGTAACGATAATTTCCTCTCCTATATAGTTGATGTGAAAGTCAAGAATAATTCTTCGACAGCATCCTCAATATATCTACTGTCACCTTGATTTTCTGAAAATTAAAGCTTTTACATCGATGTTGAACTGCTATGTACACTCTAGAACGAACAACTCATAAGGTCAACGAAATAGAATAAAACGCTGAAACTCGACTGAAGATAAACAAATACTTTTCAAGATTGCAAAAGAGTAGCATTATCTAACGCCATCATTCGGAAACTGAGTGCGTACATGATCATTTTTGATTGATGCATTGTTAATATCCAATAGAATGTTGAATAGAAACTCAGTAATATATGCACTTGATTTACTGTAAAATATATCAAACTTCTATATCATTTTTTAGATGGAAAACGATTTTATTGAAGAACCTGTTTTACTTGATGATGATGAAGAAGAAGTAAAAAAAAAGACTTCTATCCAATTTCAAACACTCTAATTTACTTTTTTTCTAGCAATCATATAGTCAAACGAAGAAACATAAACATGATAAATTAATTGATTCAATTGTTCATTTAGATGGTAAAAAACGGTAAGTTTACATAGTTTATATTTTTGTTCTTTGTTTCATAAAAAAATACACATTAATCATTCTAAATAGAAAAGTAACTATTCGTAAAGAACCAATCAGTACTCCAAATAATCTTATTGCATCAACACAAACATGTAAGTTATAATAAACGAATAAAATACTTTTTATTTAATTTTTCTAAATTAACTAGCTACATCATCAAAAAAGATTAAAAGTCATCAATTATTATCAAGTTTAAAAAAGACTTCATCATTACAAATTCAAACATTAAAAAAACAATTAGCAAAAGTTAATAAACACCAAGCTGTACTTCAACAACCATTACAAAAACCACAAGCAGAAAAAGTTTTATTTAATTATGAAATTTATTTTTTTCTATTCAAAAATTTGATTTTCTTCTTAGGCTGAACGTATTGCTGCTTATAATCAAGAAAAGAAATCACTTTCGAAATGGGATCCTATTGTCGAAAAAAATCGAACTGTAATCAAATATTTTTCCTTTTTTTTATTCCCTAGTTGATCTAATTTTAATTAAATATAGGCAGAAACATTAAATTTTCCACTTCAAAATGGTGGTGTTCAATTTCAAACAACACAAGAATTTGTTGGAAAATTTCAAGTAAATTACAATTATTTAAAAATTTTTATATATTTTGTTTAATTTATAGACATTAAGTTCATTAGAAAAAGATATAGCAGCAATATTACAATCAAGTAATAATAATATCCAACCGAACTCATTACTTACACAAGCTGAAAAGAAAATTATTAGTAAAATGGATTTACTTGAAGTAAACTTAATTGAACAAAAAAACAAAGTTTCAAAACAAAAAAAAAATTATTTTAGGCTAAACAAAAATTAAATGAATTAAAAAAAATGCGAGCTCTAATTTCATATCAACAAGCAAAATTCAAACGTGTACGAAAAATTAAGAGTAAAAAGTAAATCGAACTACTAAATATTATTTAACTTATGACAGGTTAATAACTAAAGTTTCGAGATCAGTGATGAAAAAGATTTTGCTTTTACTTTCTAATGGCGAAATCTACAAGTTGCTAAATGCTTTTCATCCACAGAATAGACGATCTAGTCGAATGTCTTTTGTATCATATATTATCTTTGAGTCTCATCACATAAAGAAATTATATTTGTTTAATTATTTATTAAATCGTTAGTATATTCTAAAATATAGATTGATATGAAATTTCAATGTACCTATTTTGTAGCCTTCAGAGTTGTCTGCAGAATTTATTATTTTATAAATTATTTCAATTCATTTGTTTTTGTTTTTATTGAATAGATTTCGTCGTCTAGTTCGAAAAGATCGTCAAAAACAAGAAGAAAAAAATTTAGAAAAATTATCTATTGAACATCCTGATCAATTTCTTGAACGATTAGAACAACTTGAACGACGTCGTATTGAAGAACGTTCCACATTACGACATAAAAATTCAACTAAATGGGCTAAAGAAAAACGATTATTATCAAAATTTAATACAAAAGTAAAATAAAATATTTTGATTTATTCAATTTATTTTTCCATTATTTATAGGTACGAGAAGATATTGAAGAACAATTAAAACTTGGTAAACAATTAAGTTCAAAACAAGCTCAAGCTGAAAGTGATGACAATGATGAAGATGAAGAACAATCCTCGTCATCAAAGCCAACAGTAGAAATACCAAAAAAGAAATCAACAGAAATTCCATTAATTCTCGCTCCATCTCAAATTGAATCTGAAGCTAATCCATGGTTAACAACAACAAGTAGTCCAGTTTTACCATCATCTGAATATTCAAAACCAAGTGAAGTTCGAAACGAAGATACTTCATCATCATCATCTGATGATGATGAAGATGAAGATGAAAAAGAAAATCCAGCAGATCAAACTCAAAATGAATCATCAGAGAATACTACAAGTTATGGTATAACAAATCCTAAACAGTCAGAACATCTTAATATGCCTGATAATACGAAACGTATTGAAATTGAACCAAAACGAACAGAACAACATCAAATAAATATTCAAGAAGCATTTGCTGATGATGATGTTCTTGCTGAATTCGAAAAAGAAAAAGTAATTCAATGTTTATGATCAACATATGCTAGTTTTTTTATGCATATTTAGACAGAAATGATCGATCGTGATCGTCCAAAGCCAATTGATTTATCATTACCTGGTTGGGGTGAATGGGCTGGATCCGGTGTTCCAGTTAATAAACGAAAAAAACGAAAGTAAAGAACAATATAAAAAAAAAACAAACCTTCGACTTTCACCTCTTTTTTTCTATAAAGATTTTTAATCCAACCAAAGCCTGCACCACCTCGACGAGATGTTCATCTTCATCATGTAATAATTAATGAAAAAGCTGATCAGAAAATCTCTGAACATCGTGTATGTGTCTTTTTTTATTATTCTTT